GCCATTTCCCCCATTTCCCCCCTCCATTTCCCCCCATTTTTCCCCTCCATTTTCCCTTTTCCCCCCTTTTTTTCCCCATTTTTCCCCATTTTCCCCGTTTTTGCCCAAAATCGCCGTTTTTCACCCCAAAATGAATGCACATCTCCCCGCTGATGTACTCCAGCCATTTCCCCCATTTTCCCCCATTTTCCCCCTCCATTTTTCCCCATTTTCCCGATTTTTCCCCATTTTTCCCCGTTTTCACCCATTTTTGCCCAAAATCGCCGTTTTTCGCCCCAAAATGAACGCACATCTCCCCGCTGATGTAGTCGAGCCGCTTGCCCACGGTGCCCTTGGCCTCCTCCAGGTCCTGCTTGACCAAAACGGGGCCCAAGAGCTTAAAAATGGTGTTGGACTCGTCCAGCAGGTTCAGCTCCTGCGGAACGGGGAGAAAAACGGAGATTTTGGGCAAAATGGGGAAAAATGGAGAAAAAGGGGAAAAAAGGGGAAAAAAGGGGAAAAAAGGGGGAAAATTGGAGGGAAAATGGGGAATTGAGGGGGGAAAATGGGGAATTGAAGGGGGAAAAAGGGATTTTTGGGGGAAAAAAGGGGATTTTTTGGGGTAAAAGTTTCAATTTTTGGGAAAATAAAGGATTTTTTGGGGAAAAAAGCAGATTTTTTGGGGAAAAAAAGGATTTTTTTGGGGGGAAAGAAGATTTTTTGGGGAAAAAAGGATTTTTTTTGGGAAAAAGGATTTTTTTGGGGAAAAAGGAGATTTTTAAGGGGAAAAAAGGATTTTTTGGGGAAAAAAAAGGGTAAAAAGTGAGGAATTGAAGGAAAAAAAGGATTTTTTTAGGGGAAAAGGGACTTTTTTAGGGGAAAAATTTGGATTTTTTTGGGAGCAAAAAGGAAGATTTTTTTGGGGAAAAATAGGGATTTTTTTTGGGGGGAAAAGAGGATTTTTTGGGGAAAAAAAGAGGATTTTTGGCGGAAATAAAAGAGGATTTTTTGGGGGAAAAGGGATTTTTTTGGGGAAAAAAGGAGATTTTTGGGGGGCAAAATGGGGATTTTAGGGGCAGTTTTTGAGGGATGTTTTTGGGACACTTTTGGGGTATTTTTGGGGCAGTTTTGGGGTACTTTGGGAAACTTTTGTGGTTATTTTTGGGGATGTTTTGGGGTATTTTGATGTTATTTTTAGGGTGGTTTTAGGATATTTTTGGGGCATTTTGGGGGATTTTTGGGGGCTTGTTTTGGGTTATTTTTGGGGCAGTTTGGGGGATTTTTGGTTTATTTTTGGGGCAGTTTTGGGGTATTTTTGGGGCATTTCTGGGGTATTTTTGGAGCAGTTTTGGGTTATTTTTGAGAAATTTGGAGGTATTTTTGGGGCAGATTTTGGATTATTTCTGGGTTGGTTTTGGTGCAGTTTTGGGGTATTTTTGGGAGTTTTCGAGGCATTTTTGGGGGCAGTTTTTGCGTTACTTTTGGGGCATTTTTGGAGCAGTTTGGGACAGTTTTGGGTTACATTTGGGGCAATTTGGGGTATTTTTAGATCAGTTTTGGGTTATTTTTTGGGCAGATTTGGGGTATTTTTAGGGCATCTTTGAGCTGTTTTTGAGGTAATTTTTTGGGTATTTTTAGGGCATTTCTGGGGTATTTTTGGGGCAGTTCTAGGGCATTTTTGAGCTATTTTTGGGGTATTTTTAGGGCATTTTTGGCCTATTTTTAGGGCAGTTTTTGGGGTAATTTTTGGGGCAGTTATGGGCTATTTTTAGGGCATTTTTTGAGCTACTTTTGGGGCAATTTTGGGGCATTTTGGAGCTATTTTTGGGGTAATTTTTGGGGCAGATTTGGGGTATTTTTGGGGCATTTTGTACGTACTCTTGAGATTACTTTTTGGGCAGATTTGAGGTATTTTTAGGTTATTTTTGGTGTAATTTTTTGGGTTACATTTGGGGCAATTTGGGGTATTTTTAGATCAGTTTGGGGTTATTTTTTGGGCAGATTTGGGGTATTTTTAGGGCATCTTTGAGCTGTTTTTGAGGTAATTTTTTGGGTATTTTTAGGGCATTTCTGGGGTATTTTTGGGGCAGTTCTAGGGCATTTTTGAGCTATTTTTGGGGTATTTTTAGGGCATTTTTGGCCTATTTTTAGGGCAGTTTTTGGGGTAATTTTTGGGGCAGTTATGGGCTATTTTTAGGGCATTTTTTGAGCTACTTTTGGGGTATTTTTGGGGCAATTTTGGGGCATTTTTAGGGCATTTTGGAGCTATTTTTGGGGTAATTTTTGGGGCAGTTATGGGCTATTTTTAGGGCATTTTTTGAGCTACTTTTGGGGCAATTTTGGGGCATTTTGGAGCTATTTTTGGGGTAATTTTTGGGGCAGATTTGGGGTATTTTTGGGGCATTTTGTACATACTCTTGAGATTATTTTTTGGGCAGATTTGAGGTATTTTTAGGTTATTTTTGGTGTAATTTTTGGGGCAGTTCTGGGGTATTTTTAGGGCATTTTTGGGGTATTTTTGGGCTCATTTTGTGCAGTTTTTGGTTATTTTTGAGGGGATTTTTGTTCTGGGGTATTTTTAGGGCATTTTTGGGGTATTTTTGGGCTCATTTTGTGCAGTTTTTGGTTATTTTTGAGGTGATTTTTGTGGCAGTTTTGGGGCAGTTCTGGGCTATTTTTCGGGCATTTTTGGTTATTTTTGGGCTGGTTTTGGGGTATTTTTGGGGTGATTTTTGTGGCAGTTTAGGGGCATTGTCAGGTTATTTTTGGGGCAGTTTTTGGTTATTTTTGGGCTGTTTTGGGGTATTTTTGAAGTGATTTTTGTGGCAGTCTTGGGGCATTTTTAGGTTATTTTTAGGGCATTTTTGGGGTATTTTTGGCTCATTTTGGACAGTTTTTGGTTATTTTTGGGGTGATTTTTGTGGCAGTTTTGGGGCATTTCCAGGTTATTTTTAGGGCATTTTTGGCCTATTTTTAGGGCAGTTTTTGGGGTAATTTTTGGGGCAGTTCTGGGCTATTTTTAGGGCATTTTTGGGGTATTTTTGGGCTCATTTTGTGCAGTTTTTGGTTATTTTTGAGGTGATTTTTGTGGCAGTTTTGGGGCAGTTCTGGGCTATTTTTAGGGCATTTTTGGGGTATTTTTGGGCTCATTTTGTGCAGTTTTTGGTTATTTTTGAGGTGATTTTTGTGGCAGTTTTGGGGCAGTTCTGGGCTATTTTTCGGGCATTTTTGGTTATTTTTGGGCTGGTTTTGGGGTATTTTTGGGGTGATTTTTGTGGCAGTTTTGGGCCATTTTCAGGTTACTTTTGGGGCAGTTTTTGGTTATTTTTGGGCTGTTTTGGGGTATTTTTGAAGTGATTTTTGTGGCAGTTTAGGGGCATTGTCAGGTTATTTTTGGGGCAGTTTTTGGTTATTTTTGGGGTGATTTTTGTGGCAGTTTTGGGCCATTTTCAGGTTACTTTTGGGGCAGTTTTTGGTTATTTTTGGGGTGATTTTTGTGGCATTTTTGGGGCATTTCCAGGTTATTTTTAGGGCATTTTTGGCCTATTTTTAGGGCAGTTTTTGGGGTAATTTTTGGGGCAGTTCTGGGCTATTTTTAGGGCATTTTTGGGGTAATTTTTGAAGTGATTTTTGTGGCAGTCTTGGGGCATTTTTAGGTTATTTTTAGGGCATTTTTGGGGTATTTTTGGCTCATTTTGGTCAGTTTTTGGTTATTTTTGGGGTGATTTTTGTGGCATTTTTGGGGCATTTCCAGGTTATTTTTAGGGCATTTTTGGCCTATTTTTAGGGCAGTTTTTGGGGTAATTTTTGGGGCAGTTCTGGGCTATTTTTAGGGCATTTTTGGGGTAATTTTTGAAGTGATTTTTGTGGCAGTTTAGGGGCATTTCCAGGTTATTTTTGGGGCAGTTTTTGGTTATTTTTGGGCTGGTTTTGGGGTATTTTTTGAGGTGATCTTTGTGGCAGTTTTGGGCATTTTCACGTTACTTTTGGGGCAGTTTTTGGTTATTTTTGGGCAGTTTCGGGGTATTTTTGAAGTGATTTTTGTGGCAGTTTAGGGGCATTGTCAGGTTATTTTTGGGGCAGTTTTTGGGTATTTTTGGGGGGATTTTTGTGGCAGTTTTTGGGGCATTTTCGGGGTTATTTTTGGGGTGTTTTGGGGCAGTTCTGGGCTATTTTTTGGGGTGATTTTTGTGGCAGTCTTGGGGCGTTTCCAGGTTATTTTTGGGGCATTTTTGGGGTTATTTTTGGGGCATTTTCGGGGTTATTTTTGGGGTGTTTTGGGGCAGTTCTGGGCTATTTTTTGGGGTGATTTTTGTGGCAGTCTTGGGGCGTTTCCAGGTTATTTTTGGGGCATTTTTGGGGTTATTTTTGGGGCATTTTCGGGGTTATTTTTGGGGTGTTTTGGGGCAGTTCTGGGCTATTTTTTGGGGTGATTTTTGTGGCAGTCTTGGGGCGTTTCCAGGTTATTTTTGGGGCATTTTTGGGGTTATTTTTGGGGCATTTTCGGGGTTATTTTTGGGGTGTTTTGGGGCAGTTCTGGGCTATTTTTTGGGGTGATTTTTGTGGCAGTCTTGGGGCGTTTCCAGGTTATTTTTGGGGCATTTTTGGGGTTATTTTTGGGGTGTTTTGGGGCCGTTTTGGGGCTCCCCACCTCCTGCACGATGTTGTTCTCCGTCAGCTGCGTCTCCAGTTTCTGCCGCGCCGCCACCGCCCGGCCCAGCTCTGGGGGGGGACCCCAAAATTGGGGGGCTCAGGGGGGACCCCA